ATACCCATGTTCAATAGCAGCACAATTGGTGACAGCTAAATCTTGGAAACAACCAAAATGCCCATTAACTGCAGAGTGGATGAAAAAAATGTGGCATTTTTATGCAATGGAATACTACTCAGCTATAAAAAAGATGATCTTGAGTCCTTTATAGGTTAATGGAGGCAAATTGAGAAGATGCACATTAGTAAATATCACATTGTCTCTCTAGTATAAAAAATAATAAAAACTACAGCATAATGGGATCCAAAAAGTATAATAGATATTGTAAAAGTAAAAGGGAAGGAAAGTGCTCTAATGGATATAACAGTATGTATAATGTTAAGATAGATGACCATATTATTGAATTTCTGTTGGAACACTGAACAGAAGGATTTACACTGTCAATGTTTGCGTGTCTAATAATTATTTATGCTTTGATTTTGTGACTTTGACAACTATTTTTTAAGATGACAATGGGTACTGTATCAACTAGCGATGTTATGATGTTAATTTTTTTGAATTCGGTATTGCTCTACCCTTCTTTTATGTTTTCTTTATTTTTCTTTTCTTTCTTTGGAAAAAAAGAGAAAAATATTTAATATAACAACCATTGTTAAATTTCTTTTATTCTGTTTTGAAAACTTATATTGTTATTGTTTTGAGTTTGATCAAACTTATATTTGTTATTGTTTTGATCATGAGTTCAACAAACAACTGTTGTTGTTTATGTCTTTTGCTTTTTGTTTTTCTTTTCTGATTTTTCTTTTTTTAAAACAAAATAAAATAAATAAAAAAGGGAAAAAAAAAAGAATTTAATGAATCTTATATAGTTTTCTGCAATTTGAATGTATTCACCTAGTCTCAATTGCCAAACCTTTAGACATCATTTGAAATAAATGGTAATGGCTTTGCTTCCTCAATGTCTTAGTTCTCTAGAAATAAAATTAAAAACATTTGTTCAAATGGAGTGACAGCACCTTTTTCCCCAACTAAAGAACACACACAGCCCCACAGAGCTGACAACTCAAACACAATGCGTGATAGTTTGCATAATGCTTTGCATGACATTTGAATGCTACTGGTTCATTTTTGCTGGAAGTGAAAATCCGCTCACCATCTGCTTCTTTGCTAGTCCCTAAGAACTCTAGGTGTTGAGCTGGCTGCCTTTGCCTCAGAAAAACAAAGCAACCTGCAAGCATCATGCATGTACCTCTACTGCATGTGCCTCTATGGCTGGTTAGTTCGGCTCAGCAAAGAAAAGAAGTCTGTCCTTGGCTGTAGACCAGACCATTGAATCAGTCACCCCATCACTGAGGACCATCCTACCCTGAGGATGGCCAGTGACTCAAACTTGGTGAGCCACAAATAACATCAGTATTATTTCCTGAAGATGAATCTTGACTACATATACACCTGATGGTAAATCAGATACTCAGTTAAGTGGTTTGGAGAATATTCTTGACTACCAGTGGCTTTTGCATTGAGCCAGCATGAAACTTTTCTTTTCCTGAGCATTAATATTATGTGGTAGGAAACATAGAACAAAGATTTATTTTTTACCCTCAAAACTGTCAAGATTTAAAGTAGATGCATGATACCTAAAATCTAGCAATAAAGAAGAAAAATTAGCAATTAATCAGAGCCCTACTTGCAGAATCTTCTGTCAGTTCCAAACATTTGTTTAAACTGAGCTTTTGGATTCCTGACTCTTTGTCCATAAGTGATAATAGACCTATATTTTCAAAGAAATGAAAAAATCCACTTAATATTTTTGACTTGGGAATGGCAAATAGTTTCATAAACTTAAATACAGTGGTATCTCAGTTCACAAACTTAATTCATTCCTGATTTCTGGAAAAGGTGGCCAAGTTTGTGTTCATGTGGGAAAGATGGCCATGGTCATGATGGCAGAGTTCACAAATGAAAACAAAATTTTGCCAAATGCTTCAGTTTGTGAACCTAGTTGTTCATAAACCAAGGTACCACTGCATCCATATGATTAGTATATAATATGGGCAATGATTCTATATGATAATATCAACTATCTATTGTTTATAAAACATTTGCAAATAACTAAAGACTTAAGTGTTCCAAAAATGACTCTTTGGATAGCACATATAAACACCAACTCATGTTATCCTTATGTTTTTATATGAACTGTAATCTGTATATGAAGGGCAAACCCATCCAAATGGCTATAAAGACCTAGATTTATATCTGGACAGTAGGACTTCAATACTGCAAATATATTTAAACTTACTAGATTTTAGAGGTATTGTTTAACTAGAGGATCATTTTTATTTTGTACTTTACAGCTTTATTAAAGGAAAAGTGTGTGTTAGACTTAAAATTATTAGAAGGCAGGTGTGCAGGGGTACATACCCATAATCTCACTTGTGGAAATTTATAGGTACCATGTCTCAAAAATCAATCTGACTATCTAGCAGTACATTATTAGAAATCAATAAAGTTAATGTAGGCCTGGTGGAATTGCTCAGTGATAGAGCGCTTAGCCAGCATGCATGAGACCCTGGATATAATCTGTAGCACTGTAAAAGGAAGGAAGGAAGGATTAAGGGAAGGAAAGAAAAAAGGGAGTGAAGCAGAAAGGAAAAACATTATACTTTTATGGACATTTAGAAAAACAAGAAACTAAAATTTCAAAACTTAACTCTTAAGAAACATTTGCCATGAAGATCAGCATTTATGGCATTACTTTTCTCCCTCAAACTGACACTTCTATAGGATAATCTTTAGAATGTGAGAAATTTTAGAAGTTACCTAGTCCAATATCATCATCATTATAGATGAAGAAATCAAGATCTGGTTTGGAAATTGATGGGGGAGGAGCACCGAAGAGCAAGAACCCAGAGGATGAGCACTTGAAACCGGGCCGGGATTGGGGTTCCTGGGGTGGAGAAACCTATAAGTAAGTGCCTTTGTCAAGTGGCTTGAAACACTGAAGGAGAAACTATGCTTTAAAATAAGGGAAAGACATTGTAGGAGTTGAGTCTTGAGGAAGGATAATCTAATAACAAAGATATTCTGCGCACAGAAGTTAATTTCTAAGTGTAAGGCCATCCGGTGAGAGGTTCCTCTCCCAGGAGTGAGGCATGAGCCTGTCATACAAACAGCAGACATACAGTCACTTGCTTAGACCCTAAATATTGGCTAGGAAAGCAACACAGAAGCAGACATAAAGGGAAGAGGCAGGTGTGAGAGTGACTGATAAATCATTCTTCCAGCCTTGTTCGATCAGAACAGAAAAGAATCGCCTCCTTAGATCCTGACCCAAAGCTGAGCAAGAGGCAAGAGTCCGACTTTTTGGCATATGTTTAAAAATCTCCCTATTGCTGTCTAGAAGGTGCTAATCTGTGGGAGAGGGAGGGAAATAAAAGAGATGTGTTTGCTGCATGCCACTGACCCCCATCACAGAGATGCAGGCTTGGTCTGTGTGTGCACCCAGTGGGTTGATTCAGTGGGTGGCACTCCCAGGGATACCTGTCAGCCACTTCCAAACAAGCTCAACTAGCAGAAAGCCCTGGCCTGCGACAGGCAACTGAGAAGAGAACAAGGACAGAACACTTCTTCAGTACCTCCTATAACTCCTGTCATGGCCTCTCCTTAGTGGCTGAGACTCTCTGAGGCTCCTCCACAGCATTTCCTCCCTAATCCCTGCAGGCCCAGCGCAGCCAACTCTTCCTAGGGGATTCTACATTCCTGGCCAGTTTCGCATCTGGGTTGGAGTCTGCTCCTGCCAGAACCCTGAGTAGACATGGAGGATAGAGGCTAGGGGAGAAATATAGCATTTTATGCGTACTTCTATTTACTGTGCAAAAGTTTATACTGAAGTCCAAGACATGTTACATTACAAAATGGAAAATCCACGTGAACTTTTAAAATACATGGATCTTCAAAAATATCAATCTTTAAATCCCCAAAGCTGCTGTCTTGGCTGTTCACTCTCCTTTGTTCCCTGGAGTCTTCAGTGGGTGAGACTGGAAAAGGACGCTTTGCTAGGAGGAAGAGATGCACCTTTTGCTTTGTCAATGGAAGTAAAATTGGGGTGAGTTTGTCGACTGACTCAAAGGTATTGATCTTCCAGGATATAGGGACAGTTGCAACAAGATAAACTAGTGACAAGGAAGGGGAGAGAATGGGGGTCAGACTGCAGGAAGGGCCTGAGAACCTAGGAATGCTGACCAGAGGAGCAGAGCCTAGTGGACCGAGAAAAATCCCAAGACAGTAGCCCTGACCAGGAACCTGCTCCTCCTCAGAGGCCGCTGTATCTGGAATCCATTACTTTTGTTGCTTTTAGAATAAAGAGTCTTCAGGAAAAGGATATGATATACAACCCAGCTATTTTATTACTAAAGAAGCAGAGAACTATGTAATACACATCAGCATATCTCTCAAAAGTCTAATTTTAAAATCCCCCACGTTGAAAGTGTAGAAGTCTAAATTATTTTAAATAAAGTTAAAACACAAATTTATCGTAATCTTTGGCAATGCTGTGTAAAGCAAGGGTTAATCATGATCTCTTGGCCAAAGTCCCCTTGAGCTGAACCTGAAAGAGGAGAGACTTCAGCTTCTAAGAACTTGTGCATGAAAGGAGAAATTGCTGGGTTCCTGGGAAGGGACAATACAGTCACCGTGGGGCACCACAGCCAGCTGGGAAGCACTGCCAGGCTCCTCTTCAAACCTCCCCTGCATCCAAAGCTTTTGCCTCCCCCGCTATTCCTCTCACATATTCTGCCTCTGCTATGCTTTCACTGCAAAACGGGTTCTGAAGCCAAAGGACATTCAAATTCTATGGATTTAGAACAACTGCAGGTATACATGGGAACTGCTACTCTGAATAAGAGTACTTTGACCAGACTGCCTGCTCTAAAGTGCATTTTCACTAGGACACAGAAGGCTCATGCAAAATTATTTCTAATTTTTTTATTTTAATGAAAAGGTAAAAATTACCAGAAACCATTAGAAATTAGTAAGAACCAGAGAGCTAATGTGCTTACCTGCTGTCCCCAGCATTTGCCACATACAGCTTCCCCAAAAGGCAAACCACAATGAGGGCTGTGCAGCCGCCAGATATATTATACGAACTCCTCTCTCGTTCTATTTGTAGGTCCTGAAGAAGACAAGAGCGTTAGTTTTGAGTTGTATAGAAACTTATATCAAAAGGCTTTCTTACCCTTACTCAACAGAGTCCTACAAATCTAGACACACTTTGGAAAAGGACAAGAAAATCCACAGCACTGGTTTCTCCTACCACCTAATGAGGATTTCTGAAGAGGACACTGCATAAAACTGCCCTGTAACAGCCTGTCTACAGGCCACAGGCAGCAAACACATACAATCAGATGAAATGAAAATACAATATAAATCACAGTCAATAAATATCCTTGTTTATAGAAAATTTAGTCTTTGTATGACTGCCCGAGTGCCACGTGGAAAATGAATGGAGAATCTAAGGATGCTAAGTACTTGGATGTGATCAACCTTTTAAACTCCAAAGCCTTAAATAAATCATTTCTTTTAGAGCTAAACAGGAGATGTGAAGAACTGTCTTCTATACAGGCAGGAGTTGACCCACGACTTACAGATCAAACATCTATTCTTCGGAACTCTGATCTGCTTTTCCTCCTCCAACAGCCACCAATTCACAATGGTGACACATTTATAATGATAAGAGCCAACACTCCCAGAGCACTTTCTTTGGACTGTGCACTGTGCTAGGCATTTATACAGAACCTCATTTCATCATTATTAACTTCATTGTTTAGATGTGAGTAGATCCCCCATACTTAGAGACTGGATTACAACCTGGTTTTTCTCCTCCAAAGACTGTTGTTCCCTGCCATCTAATGAGGCATCCCCAAGAAAATTTTAAAAAGACCAACACTTATATAGACAGATATTCAACCAAGACAGATGCCTTGGTGAACCTGTGTTAGTGACAGAAGCAATAATTCTGTGTCCTTAGAAGAGTATTTGTTAAAGCAGGAAAATACACTGCACATCAAGCTAAAAGCTATCTATTCTTGTTGGGCAGAGAGAAGAATAGGGTTTGGTAAAAATTATAGGAAGAGGAAGAAATGGCCCTGATTTCTAATGATGTAGTTGGCAGATTCAGGGCTGGGGCACTTTTGTGAGTTTTGGAAACTCTCAAAGTAAGGGCTACTTCCGCGAGTTTCCTCATACAAGGGTGGTAGGTGAGGTCATTTCCAGCAACTCAGTATTTTACTAGAAACTGCTGTGATGCAGGGGCCAGAAACATGAAGACAGACCAACCTTCAGTGGGAAACTACAAACAGAAGATTCCTGACTGAGGATACAGCAGAGGAGTTGGGCAGTACACTAGCTAAAGAGTAAGTACAGGAAACATACAAAGACCAGACCAAGGAGAAACTAACACAGTGGACTGGATAAGGGTAAAGGAGCTGTGGAGCCACGGGGATGACGTCAGTAGGGCGTGGGTAGTTCAAGGGCAAACAAGAAGGAACTTTAATAAGGTGGAAGACAGCAGCATCAGAGGGGTAAGCGAGAGGACAGTGTTCACAGGACTGCGTTACATGTCCTGCTTACTTAAATTCTGTATAAGCTGGCTTTCTTATGGGTTGTTGTATTAGATTAGATGACATGTGTGAGATTTCAAAAGCCATGTAGATTCTTCCTACATCCTGGAAAGCTCAAGACTGACAGCAGTGACTTTTCTTGCTCATTTAGAACCTCAACAGCGCCAAGTAAATTGGGAGTTTCAGAAATGTCCATTAAATGGATAAGCAACACTAAAAAATTCTAGGGCATCCTAACTATCTCACTACAACTTTATTTCTGCTTTCATTTGAGAAATGATGATAAATGAAATGCTTATTATCCAAATGCTCACCAAGATAATAATTAAAAAAGAATCTTTAATTAAATGCAATCAATGAACAAGAATGAATGAATGAATTATTGGATCCTATCACAAAGATGCTGGAGGCTGGGAAGTGACGGGAAAGAGGCATATGGATATTAGGTAGGAAGGATTCTTTCCAAAAACTAAAAGAGAAAAGAAAAAAAGTCAAGATTCCTTTTTTGGGGGGGGGGTACTAGGGATCGAACTCACGATCTCATGCTTGCCAGGCAAGCACTTATGCCATGAGCTAAATCCTCGGCCCAAGACACAATATTTTTGTGTGTAAGGTTTAAAATATGCAAACAAAACCAACAACTCCATTACAGGTATGTCTGCTAAATTTTTAAAAAATTAAATAACTCATAAAGCTGTGTACTTTTCATGTATAATCAATATGTAAAATGGTATAACCAAGTCCACATTCAAAATTACTATTTTTAATGGATGAGAAGGAACTTCCCTCGCTAAAAAATTATCCCTTCACAGCTAGAATCAATATTTGTTTGAAGAGCTCTAAAATTTAAATGAAAAACAATTCTTATTAAAAATTCTTTGAGTACTCAACTGCTTGTATGCTGTATATGGATTGGAATGCGAATGATGTTTGTAGGGCTTAAGAGAATTATTAGTGCAATCCAAAAGGGGAACATTCCGACAGCATACAGAGTCCATGTAAAAATGCTGTTCGCGGCAAAGAATTCCCCTGGGGCTCAGGCAAACATTTATTCTGCATTGTAGGTTATGACATTATTCATCATGGTTTCTATTCATCATGGTTTCTAACACAAGAAAATCTAATTTTAGAAGTATTTAGTCATCAGGGAAAACATCAAGGTAGAATGTGGAACACCAAGATATTCTGCTAGTTCATATTTGCCTTTAATGTTAGTAAGAATGTTCCAGTCAGTTTACTCAGCTAATCCCTTACAATTATATTTAACAGTGTGGTTCAATTGTTTTTTCAAGTTGATTTCATTATTGCTTTCATCGTTTTCTACATTTCCCCTGTAGTTTCCTCTGAGTAAGAAGTGCTAAATTTGGCAGCATTTTCTCATAAAAAGTGAACTAAAGTGTAACTATTTTTTATTCAAGAAACTTGGTTAATATGTACATGCCTCACTGTCTCTCACATTTGTGAGGGAATACACATATGTGTACACACATGTACCTATTAATTAATAAGCACGGTCTCTTCAATCATGGTGCAATCACAGCAATTTGAAAGATGCATTTCTGCAGATTTCATCCCCTGAAGGATTCACTGACATTAAAACACACTCTTCTATTTCTTATAAAACTGTGTGCAACTAGAACAGATTCTAAAAATAATTGCCTCCCTCCTCTCCTCCCTGGAAGCCAAAATAGCACATTTATTTTTTCCTACATACACCACCTACTCCTCTTTAAATGATGTTTCACGAAATCTTAGAACTGAAAGGAACATTAAAAGAACCATCTGGGTGGTTCTTTTACTATCAGATTAAACATAATAAATGAAGTCAATAAAGATGTATTTACCATTGAATTTACTGCCTCTTACTCTTAAGCCCTCAATCTCTCAAATTAGCTTAAGTTTTTTACACTTTAGGTAAAAAATAAAAATGCACACGTATTTTTTTTAAAAAACCTTGAGTTTTGTGTCTTTTTTTCACAAATCAGTGAAATCATGAGAAAAACTGCCTACTGCTTTTGCTAAGCACTAACTTATTTGGACCATTTCCCTGTTTTAGCTGCCAATGAACTCCAAGACATAAGTCTAAAATAACTTACTAGCAAAACACATCCACATAGTATCACTGCTTTCAAGGTTTAAAGAATCACTTGGATGCAAAGGATTCAATTAACATGATGAATAATCTATCTGCTCAATCAAGGGTCCTGATACATCTCATGGAAACTTTCTACTCATTAGTAGATCTGAGTTATTATATTTTGTACTGTGCCTGCTTAAATATTACATGTAAGCTACTCTTAACTCTAAATCAAAGAATAGATCCAATTTGTAAGATTTGAGATTTTTTTTTTTTTTGGTTCTCTTTTGTTGCAAGAAAAGAATGAAAGCAGAGAAGGAAAAGAGATATGTGTGACATGAGATCTACTCAACTGGAAAGAATTGCAAGGAAAAAAATTATATTGCCTAAAATGGTTGTAATTCGGTCTGAACATCTCAGAGATGATGCAACTCCAGGGTCAGTCTTTGCTCCTTATGAATTTTTAGGTTGCAAAAGGAAAGCAACAGCAGTCAGCAAAAGAATGCAACTGCTGTGTAGTTTCCATAGGACCTGGCAACTCCCCACAGCCAGGTTAAAATACAATTCTGAATACATTGCTAATAGTATCAGTCACAAGTAATAAGATTCTACATGGTTTTAGTATCCAGGTCCCATCCTGGTTTATTCTGAGAACAAGGTCATCTGCCAGCCAGGCAATGAGGAAAGAGGGGGAAAAAATAAAAAATGAAACGAAACAAACAAAACAAAACAACTCCCCCCACCACACACACACAAATCCCCAACACAAAACCACACAATCAGTACTGCCCTGCACTGCCACCTGCTGGCTGCTATGAAAGGCACGCTCATGTCTTGGTGAAGGAACTTTCAGTTCTAACAAAACACAAAAAACAATACTAGCTTAAATAAAGGCAGAGATTCAACTTCACAATTTATCATTAACATGCTAGAATTTCTTAAGATCAGGATTTATAAACTGCAAATAAGCTTTGCTTTTATTCTCTCCCTTTTTATCGCATTGTCACTATTTGGTTTTTAACAACAAAGCCAAGCTGCTTGGTCCTTCCAACTGCTTACTGAGTGACAGGAAGATGTACAGGAAATTTACAAGTTAGAATACTGCCATTTTCTCCATTTCTAATGACCAGACTTCTAGAAGATTCTCCCACGGTATGAAATCTACACTCATACTGAAAAAGAAATAGGACAGAATTATATCTTCCTGGCCATATCCAGAGCTCAAGCCCAGCGGGTGATAGACTAAATAGCTAACCACTGCTGATTTGGTTCTTATTCGTAGGAAGGCAAAGGCCTCGGTCATGACCCTGGCCCTGGAACCGACTTCCTCTTTGAATCAGAAATACTGTCTATTTAACCACTGGTCTGGGAAGCTGGGGAAACGGAGTTTTAAAACCAGAGGGATTTAGCTTGTTCATATTGGTTGTCCTGGGCCAAGGAGTAACCTAAATATAACAGGTGACAAAACTTGGCTGCTTAGCTAGCCACGGTTACAAAGCATCATAGAAAAGTGGAGGAGAAGTAAGTGAAAACATTCCAGAGATGTTTGTTCTTTAGGAGGCCACATGTATTTTGCACAGTGGAAACACGAAGAATTGGCTACAGAGCCTTCTCTCTAGAAGGCAGGATCCAGCAAGACACAGACAGGGAGTGGTGGGGCAAACCTACCTTTGACAGTGTTCACAGTACATATTAAAGGACAGTGGCCAGGGGTCACCTGCCCCACAAGTCCCACACTGCAGCAGGCAACCCAGGGGTCAAACATGAAAAGCAATGCTTTCAAAGAAGTTCACAGCATTTGATGAAACTGCTAGGATTTCCTCTTGTACAAAGCAGTTTTTCTCTGTTCTGTGAGTCTGTGTTTTGTAAATAGTATCTACTGTTTCCTAGAAATAGTAACTACTTAATCTGGCTTGGTGTTTCTGAACATCTTTAACAGATGGTCTCTTTCGGACTACCAGTAAATCAACATTGTGTGACATCCTTCAATGTCATTTTAAAACTCCAAAACAAATGAGATATGGCATACCTCTATGGTCCTATCATGCATAACTAGAAAAGGCCCCAGAGAGGTCTTACCCTGTACTTTTATCCCCTGTGATTGCTAAAAAAAAATGCTGATTATAGAATGTAAGCTTAATAAATGCTAGTGACTGAGAAAAGCATTATATTGAGACAGAGCCAGACACAGAGAGAGAGAGAGAGAGAGAGAGAGAGAGAGAGAGAGAGAGAGAGACAGAGAGAGACAGAGAGAGACAGAGAGAGAGAGACAGAGACAGACAGAGAGAGAGAGAGAGAGAGAGAGAGAGAGAGAGAGAATTCCACATTATTGAACTATGATAAATAAAGCAAGATCCCAGAGAAGGGGAAGCTTAATCTTTAGGCATGTGATAAATATTCTGAGTTACTCTGTATCTCAAAGTATTTTTAGGCTATGAGGTAAAATAAATCTCTTTTCCTTTAAGTCAGATATTGTCTCCCACAGATGAAAAATTGACTAAGCAGGGTATTTAGGGGAATTTTAAAGTATCCTGAGCTCTGTATCTCAGGAGTGGCAGCTGTGGGGAGAGCATCAATAATAAGTTATAGGCTTAGGTACTGGCCTTGAGGAGCTGGAAGAGAGAGAAAGCAAGGTTGAAATGCTTACACGGAAATCTGAGTTGACAGGGAATTTTCCTAGTATAGGAGATCACACTGGCACACCACCCTGCACTAGTAAAGAGCACCTCCAGATAGGAAAGCTTGAAAGTGGCTGGCTATTGTGGGATGAGACAGTTTGGGAGTGGCCTGGAAATTCCAAAGCTGCTCCCTTCCAGAGAGGAGCAGATGAGATCAACAAGCTAAGAACACTGGACACAGGCTGGGCATTTAAAAAAAAATCCAAGCTTTGCTTTGAGTTAGTGACTCTTAACAAACTAATACTGAGAGGAGGAAAAAAATACTTCACACAAGCTGACAATGACTTTTTAGGCTATCATTTTGAGACCACTTGGGATAAGTTCTGTGTTATCAGTTCTAAACCTGAGCAACTAACTGCATGATTAGTCAGGAAAGATTCCTATGAATTAGAGCTTCTTCAGAAGTCCCTAATGAAGCAAAGAAAGATAAGAGTACCTTTTTGTGATTATGGTAAACATCAGACATCATCAAACAGGGACACTTTTGAGTGTAAAAAGGGGTTACCATTAATAATTATCGTGGGACAACAGGCTGAGACCACAGCAAAGCATGAGACATGGGAACCCCATCCAGTATCATGAGAACCAGAGACCCGCTCCCGCTCCTCACATAATAAGGCCAACCACATGGTGTGAAGGTCCAGGGAAGCTGCAGGCATCCTGAAGGAAGCAGGGTGACCCGGAAGCCAGGGCTGGGATGATGCACTCAAAAGTAATAAAAGCAGAGAAGAGATGTACTTAAAACTAAAAGTTCACGTAGGTCGGCTTTCCTAATCTAAAAGACCAAAATCTGAAATTTTTTTGAGCAATGACATGATACCACAAATGGATAATTCAACACCATGAAACTCTTGTTACATGTATAGTTATTAAAAATAACATATAAAATTATTTTCAGGCTATTTATGTAAAGTATTTATGAAACAAATTTCATGCTCAGACTTAGGGCCAGTTATGGTTTAGATTCACCCAAAGCTCACACTCTCAAGGCAGGGTTTTTGGAAGCTGACTGGATTGTGGTGATGCTATGCTTATCAGCAGATACGGGAACCCGGCAGGGTTTATCTCCCGCCCTGGCTTCTCCCTGCACTCTCTACCTCCTCGATGCCATGATGCGTACAGCTGTGCCCCATTATGCCCCGTTGCCATGCTGTTTCTCCCCTGTAGTCAGCCAACCATGCGTGGACCAAGAACCCTCAAACTGTGAGGGAAAATAAATCTCTCTTCCTTAAAGTCCTAAGTGCCAGGTATTTTCTCCCACAGATGAAAAAGTGACTAAGATGGGGCCCATCCCTAAGAATACTCTCTATGCATGTGCAAATCTTCCCAAACCTGGAAAAAAAAAAAAAAACAAACAAACAACAGAGATCCTTCTTATTCTAAGCATTTCAGATAGAGACCATCCAGCATGTAACACGCTATGCTGGAACAGGGGTTCCATGTGGTCTGCCCATTCATCTTGAATCATTCTTATGCTTCATCTGTCTTCTAACCATGTCAAATGCCAGCTTGTTGCTTTAGCCTATCTGGGTTCTGTATTTGGTGTGGCTCTTCACACCAAAAGCTCAGAGCATTGTCTCAGGACCTGTATTCTACCCCACACCATCACTTCCCTTTGTCTTTCTTCTAGATTCTTGTTTCACCCTGTCTTTCCCTCTCAAGGATTTTGCCACTAATATTTTACCTATTAAATACATGTTTTTTTGCTCTACTTCCATTCAGGTCTCCACATACTTGGTTTTCCACAAACTTTTTTTTTTTTTTTTTGAGACAGGGTCCCATTACGTAGTATGAGCTGGCCTTGAACTCTCAGCAGTCCTCCTGCTTCAGCCTCCTGAGCACTGAGATTATAGTTGTGCACCACTACACTTGACTCACAAACATTTATTGGTTGAATGAATTAAAAGTGAAGTTGGGTGTGGTGGCACATGCCTGTAATGTCTGCACTCAGGGGGTTGAGGAGTAGGATTGCTGCAAGTTTGAGGCCAGCCTGAACTACATACTAGGACCCTGTCTCAAAAACCCAAACAAACAAATGGAAAAAAAGTAGACCAATCAATTTGTGTATGTGTAATTCAAGCAGTGAAGTGCCTAAGGCTGAAGAAAACTAATACACACGCATGAGGCTCTTGCTTAGTTATTTTTTTGAATGAAGCTCTGAATACAATTGTTGCTAGTAACCCTAAGCCATTAATGAATAGGACTGCCTGAGACCTTTGTGCAGGGAACCAGAGTCGATGTGACATTGGCCCCTAGTGGACAAAACTGAGAATACAGCCATTCCCAGCAAAAGATGTCCCACCGTCCTAGCAATTATAAAGGAATGAAAATTCCAAAATTTTCTTCATGTTTTCACTCTTCTGGAAACTGACCTTTTCTTCCATAACAGGGAGAGCCCATCATCAAATGTTTGCCTCAGTTAAATACTTAGCATTGTGTTCATCAATGTCTGGAAACACATCAGAATACAGATGAAAGCCAGTGTGTAAAATTTTACACCAAGCCTGAGGAGTTAGGTTTCCTATCTTAATTAGTTTTAAAAATAAGTATCTTTTTTTAGCGTCTTGGGTTTTTTCTGAGGGACTGCAGAACTGCAGGCTACTGGACACCTGAGATAGAGGTGTAAGCTTTGGGGCAGGGCGGCACGGGCTGCTCTGCAGAGCGGTGGCACATCCTACTGAGGCAATCAGAGCGCAGGGAAGGATGCAGAACTACCTCAACGGACCCCTTCAGTTCTCAGTGCGCAAACAAATCCACGTGTTCAGGTACAACAGAAGACCCTTGAATAGTGGCCCCTGGCCTCTACTCTCCAGTCCCATCTTTCCCACGGTGTGAATCGCATCACCAACCAACATAAAATAGCTCTTCTTAGATCAGTTTGGTACAGGACGAAACTTTTGAACACTTCACCGAACGCTGCTTCCCTAACACCTAGACTTCAGACGTGTGCAAAACAGATGGCACCCACGCTCCACTTCAATTAATTCGGACCGTACCAGCTGGCACCAGTATGTGTTTGATGAAAAGGGAGCAATAAGGCACCCGATTCATAAGCCAGGCCGTCATGCACTAGCCCTTGCTTTCATCCTCTTTTTAATTTCTGGCAGCGCTCGTGCCAGGTGCTCGTATCTCCGTGCCAACTTTTTTTTTTAACGATATGGAAGTCCTGTTACAAAGGTGAGGCACGGGGAGGGGGAAACAGGGCAGGGACATGGCCCAGCAGGCAAGGCTTTGGGTAAGGGAATGTGCACCCCCGGGGTCCCGAGCCCGCAGCGGCACCTACCATCTCCTTGAAGGCGCTCTCCAGGGCCCCGATGACCAGGCCCTCATGCGGGATCTTCTTCTCGGTGAAGAAGCGCGTGGGTGGGGTGCTGGGCGAGCCCGGGGCGCCCACCCCGCCGCGCAGGGAGGCTGCGCGGGTCAGTGTCCGGCTGTTGGCGGGCGTGTTCTCCGGCTCCTCGCCCAGGCAGGTGGGCGGCAGGACGGCGGAGTTCTTCAGGATCTCCACGATGTCCTGCAGCTGCTCCGTGACGTGGTGCTGCAGCAGGCGCGAGGCCACCACGGCAGCCCCGGACCCCGCATGACCATCAAACAGCGACCAGTAATGGCAGGCGACCCCCTCGGATTCCTGGTGGGAGAGGGAGACAGAGAGGAGTGAGGGCCTGGCAGGCTCTGCCCAGGGCTTCGCTGACCCCCTGAGGCTTGCACTGCCCGGCGCTTGCACTCAGGTTTTCTGTTTTCATACTGGGAATTGTGGGATTAAACATTGCAAATTAGTTTGCTGCTGCTATCATTAACATTAGTTGTTCATCCGAGGGAAGAAGTGGTTCCTGCTTGTACCCCTACGAGAGAAGACGAAGTATTATATACTGGTTACTACTTGGAAGGCAAATTCTACTCTAATCTGCTGTGTGGTTTGTGATAAAACACCCTAAACACACTGGCGCCTGTACAAGCCCAGATTTAGCATCTAATTTTTATACCTGTTCTGCTTTAACCTCAGTCTAGGTCTGGCTTGGAAACTTTATAAATGTTAGACCCCTGCTGTAAATAGTAAGTAGCCCATTGACCCTCCACCCAGACCCTTACACTCTCAGATAACTGTCCCATCTTCCTTAGTCTATAATCTAGATTCTTAGAACGTGTTTTCCTCTAGACATAGGCTGGTGGAATCCTCACAAGATGCAGCGAGTTCAAATCTTCTGTCTGTATCTCTTTCTTCCCTGGTTCTCCAGCTGAGGTCACCAGCATCTTTCTTTTCCTTATCCCTAATCTATGTGCTACCTATGTTTCTTTCTCTACCGTGGATTCAGTATCTGCCAATGGAAGACTTCAAGATGAGCACTTTTAGAAACCATGTTTAAATCACACATGGAGAAGATCTTAGCCATAGGGGAAAAAATGAGCTCAACTATGACATCAGTGAAAGAACAGTGTGCCTAGAAATAAGCCCACCATGTAGATGGTGGGCCATTCTTCGCTAGAAGTGTCAAGAATATCCATCGAGGAGAGGAAAGTCTGTTCAATAAATGGTGTCCAGATAGCTGGATATCTGTATGATGTGTGACTGAAAAATATGGTGGTGTTTATATTTAAAATTACAGTATAAGACACATTGCCATTAATCCCCTCAAAATGTTTCCTATCACTTCTTGTACACCGAGCCTATTTTGTTTTTTTGTCACTTTGTGATATGGTCACTATGCAATTCAGGCTGGCCTTGAATTAACTTTGTAGCTCAGGTTAGCCTCAAATTTGAAGTGATCCTCCTGCCTCAGCCTGCTGAGTGCTGGGATTGCAGGCGTGCGGCGTCACACTGGTTTAGCCCATCATGCTCATCATTTCTGGAAGCAGTTGTTTTCTGCGAATGTCATTAATTTGCTGTTATCGCTGCCTCAGTGTCCTGAATCAATTTAAAATGTTTACTTTTCCTGGTCAGTTTGACTTTTGGAGGAGCCAGAAGTCACACAGTACCACAAGATTCGATGGATGAGGACACAACATAATGTGTTATGAACCTGTCTTAGATTCCTGAATGGCACACGGCAGCTACATGCACCATATTTTTGATCAGACATTATGAAAAGTCACACAAAGAGACTTTCAGAATTGCTTCATAAAGTGCCCAGAGTGATAAGTGCTGGAAGAGTGGGGGTAATATTTTGAGGGGGAATTAATGGCAGTGTGTTTTTGCTGTAATAAATTTTCTGAAGTTAAACTTTCACCTTATATTTTGATCATATCACATATGCAAAAGAATGAAATTGGACCCTTACATCAGGTATAAAACTAACTCAAAATAGACCTAAGATTTAAAGGACTTGAAGTCATAAAATTCTTAGAAGAAAACATTGGTCTTGGAATTGACATTGGTCTTGGGATGATTTTTTTTCTTACTATAATGCCAAACAAACAAAGAAATAAAGCAAAATAAGAACAACTGGTACCATATCAAGTCAAAAATCTTTTGCTTTCAATAAAGTAAGAAGGTAACCAAGGGAATGGCGAGAAAACATTTGTACAGCGTATGTCTGGTAAGAGGTGAAGGACTGAACAGACATTTTTGCAAAGCAGGCACACCAGCGGGCAGCAGGAGTATGAGGAGATGTTCAGCACCAGCATCTCCCAGGAAGAACTGCCAGAGAGCTGAGAGCTACAGGGACCCTGCCGGTCACATAAAGAACACCTATGGAAAGCCCAGAACCAACATTATTATACTCCACGGCGGAATGATCAATGTTTTCCCCAACAGAGGGCAAAAAGCAAAATATATGCTCCTACTCCATCCATTTAAAATTGTGCTGGAGATCCTAAGTGAACAAGAGAAAGAAAAAGCTTCCATAGTGTAAATAAAAATAAAATTGTGTTTATTCTGGATTTGAGTAGAGAATGCCTTGGTGTCATTTTATTTGTGTTTTGTGTGTTCAGAGTTTCTCATTTTAGAGTTTATAAGTATTCCATTAAATTTAGAGAACTTGAAGCAATTCTCTTTTCTCCCCCTCTTTGGTCCTGGAGATTGAACCCGGGGCACACTGCATGCTAGATGAATCCTTTACCACTGAGCTAGATATACCAAGTCCCTCAATCTTTCTTTTTTTTTTTAAATATATTTTTTCTCTTCCAAAGAATCTAAAAGCACTTGTGTTTCTCCTTGCAAAATTTCCCATGCTTGCTTAGTATGATTTCATCTTCTAAATTGATTTTTAATATTTCATTTTAGAAAATTTCTATTGCTATGTATTAAAGTCCATTAACATTTTCTTAATCTCTTACTGTTTATAAATGAGCAATAGTTCTGAATAGATATTTCTCAAAAAATACATTCAGATAGCTCATAGATGTATGAGAAACTACTCAACATCACTAATCATCAGGGAAATGCAAATCAAAGTCATAATGAGGTAAGGCTTTACAATGTCAGGAGGGCTGGTATAAAAAACAACATAAATGCTGGTAAGGACATGGAGAAAAGGAAACTCATGAGCATTTGCGATAGGAATATGAACTGGACAGCCATTATGGAAAACAGAATGTAAGTTCCTTAGAAAATTAAAAGTGGAATTACTGTCTCCAAAAATCTCACACCTAGGAATATATCTAAAGGAAGTAAAATCAGTATCGCACAGAAATATTTGCACTTGCATGTTCATTGCTGCCTGACTCACAATAGCCAACATACAGAACTAACCTAAACGTTCACTGACAGATAAATGGGCAGAGAAAATTTGATATCTGTATCTATATATCTGTAACATGTATCTGTACACACACATAATGAAATACTATTCCTCCATAAAAAGAAGCAAATTTTACCAGGTGCAATAATGCAAATAAAGTTGGAGGATGTTATGCTAAGTGAAATAAGGTGGCCACAGAAGGACAATTACTGCATGATCATAACTGTATGTAAATGCTAAAACGTCAAACTCATGGCAGTGGAAAGAATGGTAGTTGCAAGGCATTGGTAGATAAGAGAAATGAGGAGTCAAAGGGTACAAATGTTCAGTTATAATATGAGTAAGTTCTGGGGATCTAATACACAGAATGATGACTCTAGAACAGTACTGTGTTGTATACAGGACTTGAAAATTCCTACATATAACTGTGTGAGGTGTCATACGTATAAGGAACTCATAACAATCATTTCACACTGCGAATGTTTGCCAAATTATCATATAGCACACCCTAAATACATAATTTTTTAAAAATTTTATCAATAGGAGCTGGAGGTTTAGCTCAGTGGCATAAGCGCCTGCCTTGGAAGCAGTCATGAGTTAAATCCCCAGTACCGATAAAAAGGAAAAAGATAAAAAAAAAATTTATCAATAAAGCTGAAGGACAATTAGATGTGAAAAAATTATGATGTAACTAGAGGGGTAGGATATTAAATATTAAGATTAAACAAACATTTGGAATCTTTGTATTTAGAAAACCAATAAAGATAGAGGTAAGGTGCAGGTAACATCCATTTCTGACTAGTAGTTCTATGCATTCCATAGTAATGAATAACTTAAACAGCAGAAACCATTCGATAAGACTCTGCTGACTCACTTTAGAATGACCCTGGAAGATACCTGCAGTGACAGTGAAAGCTACTGTTTTCCTGGTAAAAAGGAGCAGTTTGAGTAGCCTAGTACTTTGCCTTTCATTCCGCCCTTTTGTTCCCTTCCTGTCACAGAAGCAGTTCCTAGAGGTAGGAGACCAGTCAGCAAACCAATCAGCCAATCAACGGCCAGAAACAGCAGGTTCAAGCAGGTGGGACAGGCGGTCAGAAGAGCCTGGACCCTGACTGTTTTGCATAAGATGCCACACAAGTCCAGAGCAGTTTTACCTGTTGGCTTATTGTCATGCAGGTTCCATGACATTTTGATAACCCATGGTTGTTAGTTTCTATAAGAACAGCTGGGGTCTTGGAGGAAAAAAGGACATGTAGTTTATGTGGTATCTTGGGACGTGGCACTCGTGAGGCAAAGTCAGTCAGACACAGACATAGAGAGAATTACAAGTAGTGGAGATGAGTATCAATCAGACCTCAGACTGGGGATCTTAATTTTCTTCTTCTTTTTTTTTTTAACAGCCACAATAGTTTATTTACAATTGAACTCTTTATAAGATATTTACAAGACAACCAATTTTACACATCAGAAATGGTATCAAAAGTATGAATTACAACACAAACAATATGAAATGAGCATAAAACAAAGCTGAAGTGGAGACAAGCAATTTCTCTTTAATTTATTAACGCTAGCTTAAACTTTGTTAAAGAAAGAAACAAAGAACTATGTTTTAGGAGAACCGTAGGGCCTTCGGTGGAAGATTGAACTTCACAACGTTTTATCCCATGTAGGGAAAAATTAGACTGATTTTCCCCCCATGCTCTAACACACTGTGATTTCAACTCTTAGAACTTTGCTCCAACCTCCTTCTCAGTAAACCTCAACACACCCAAATCAAAGGAGAACAGATCTTGAAGAGGGACAGTAACAGAAGATGTCCTCAAGAGAAGGAGAAGAGAGGAAAAGAATCCACTTAAAGTCTGGCCAGATAGCACCTGATGGATTCTCGCAGTCTAAATAAGAGTTCAGTGTCTGAGGAGGCCCCTGTGTAGGGCAAAAATGTGAAGCTGAA